TGCCAGGATGGTGTCGAGGATGTACCTCGTGAGACCTGTTAGGCCATGGCCTTCGGCGCTCGCCCACGAGGTAGAGGAGGCAAGAGGAGAAGAAATACAAGCCATCGTGCCTTCCGAGAGCAGGAATTCGAGGGCGATCTGGTCAGAACAGCGCAGCAATACAGTCAGCCTGTGTCATTCGAGTCTGTCCACTCCATATCCCTGATCGAACCCGATGCAGAAGCGGAATGAGGCGGTCAGAGTCGCTGCGGGCAGCATAGCTTGGCAAGGGGAAGATGCGAGAGCGATGGGCGACCGGAAGAGATGAGTGAAGTGCTCCATTGCCGACGAGAAGCGCAGGTGCTCTCACTGGAGTCCTGTTGGATGAAGTCTATCGCGTGCCTCTCGCACTGCTCGGCGGATGGCAGGAAACGGCGTACCGAAGCAGGGGTTGGCGAGTACCCAACCATACCCACCAGCCACCCCGGTTCGTCGCCATACGACGCTAGCGTGTGTGGCATACTGGGCCTGGGGGTGTGCTGCAGCATCCCTGAGGATTCCGGGCGTGAACGCGGATGGTGGTGGTGGTGGCGTGTGCACACTTCCTTGTCAGCCCGTTCGTAAGGGGTTCGAGGACACAGACACGGCGGGGTCGGTCTACACTCCACTAATCAATTAGGAGCACGAATTACCTTTCAGATAGCGCTAGTCACTGGCGCGCGGATCATAGGCCATTTCGACGACACCCCAAAGTTGGCGAGCGCAGTCCTCCAACAAGTTGGCGGTCTGCCCGGTTGTGACGGTCGGCAAGATGCAGGGGCCGCTGCTCCAAACCGGGTAGAAGCTGGTACTGCCTTGGAATGTTGGAATGAGCTCACGCTGTCCGCAGATACAAACATGCGCCTTTACGTGCGAAGCGTCGAATTCCTATGATGAAGCACCCCGTACACGGATCAAGCTAGATTCCACCCGTATGGGATGGCCTAGACGAAGTCAAGCCGGCCCAACGCATGCATATGAACAATTGCTTAACGACACTACTCTCACCATCAATTTCCAATTGACGGGATAGGCTCCTGCGAGTACAAGTGACCGCGCCACTACCTCCATGCCCGGCGGCCCCTTTTTGCAAAAGTCTCTGCTTTCCCCGAACCCTTGCCCAGCCCGCTGATCACATTCCACATCGTGAGCCGTCCTTAAGACTGCAGTCATGTTTGTGGCTATTCTGGCCCTGTGTGTTTCGATCCCAACTCTCATGTGGGCTCCATTCAGGATCATTGTTACGATGGGCAAATATGTGAGCTCAATTCAAGTCCATTCTTCTGCAACCCCCTCTAGACCCGGACTCGAAATTGACCTTACTGATGTGTTCTCAGATCGAGCTGGCTAGTCGGACCGCCT